GAGTGATCCATCTTAGTGTGTTCGTAAGGCAAACAGTTAGTAGTGCTGCTATTGTTTGTGGTAGATCATTTCATCCTGGGAGATAGACGTTCGAATTCTGAAAGCACCGTGGAGAGGACGAATCTGTCTTAAGGAGACAGTGTTAAACACTGGACTTGATCAGAAAAATAATTCGAAGAAATTAAATCAAGTAAGTTATTTAATTACTTTCAGTGTTGTTTTTATTTGTTTATTTATTCAGATTTTAATTTTGTTTTTGTAACAAAATAAAATCTGTTTTGTTTTTTATTTATTTATTTTTATTTCGAGTTTGATTTTTGTAATCAAACATATTCTCTCCTTTACTCTATTTCTTTTATTCTTGTTGTTGTTTTGTACACAACAGAATTAAATCCTTTTAAATACAGTGAAGATTGTCCAACAGATTTTTGGTATTGAAGTTGACTTGTAACTTCGAATCAGTTCTTATGAGGTTATATTACATAACACAAATCATTTTCATTCCGAATTCCGATATCAAAACTTTTATATGTGGTTTATTGGTCGTTGAAGTGTCCTTAATTTGGTTTCCACGTGTAAGAGGAATTGCACATACTTGACAAAATATGTAGGGGGAGCCAAGCAATTTTATCCTTGATTTGGTTTGCAATTTGGAGGAATTGGCACATTGCAACATGGATTCCAACCAACCTACTGGTTTTTTTGTTTTTTTCGTCTTCTTTTCTTCAATCTCATTTTTTCTTCTTCTTCACTAGTTCACCAAAGTCAATCAACAATACCCAGATCAAAAACCCATTAATTTTTTGTAGCAACAACAATATACGTATCAAACTAACTTGCAAATTTGTATCAACAGTAATATATTCTCATAAAATTATGCATTTGATGTCGTAAGTGCTTAGAAATCATCTCCAATCCTTTCATCAAATTAAGAAAGAATCATATTTTCATCAAATTATCAAAAAAAAAGAATGAAACATTAGAGAGAAGCATTAGACAATAGTGTTTTAAGAGTCTTAATTTGCTTGATGTAGGCATTGAACTTGTTGAAGGCATCTTTAGCTTTGACAAGTGCCCTCAGCAGCTTCTTCACAAAGAGGCCTAACGAAGAACATGGGACAACCTATGGCATGAGGTGAATAGCAATTTTAGTGCTTGAATTCTTCACATTTTGATCGACAATTGGGTGTGTTTTTTCTTTTTTTTTTGGTATTAAGGTTGACTTGTAACTTGAATCATTTCCAATCCTAGTTTCAAATTTTAATATCTAATCTTTATTGGTAGGGGTAACCATGGTCCGGATGATTGGTTCAGTTTGAGGTAAAATTAGGACTAATCTATTGTGTACGATTCCATAAAAATTGGACTCAATCCAATCTATTTAAATCGTGAACCAATCCGAACCAAACCATGTAAATACGAGCTCGATTTGAAACCACATATTCACATAATCTTTTAACAAAGAAAAATCATATAATATTTTCAATTCAACATTAATCTGCCCATAATTTTTCAAAACAAAAACATACATATTGTTCCACCAATAATTTAAACAAGGACAAATTGCACTAACGGTCCCTGAAGTTTAGGATTTGTGTCACTTTGATCTTTTAATTTTCAATTGTGATACATTTGACCCTGCATTTTAAATTTCGTTCTAAATAAGGACAATTAAAAATATTATTGCTCTATTTCAAGGGCAAAGTTGTCAATTTAATAACATATAAACTAGTTTGACAAAATAAATGCCAAAAAATTATTTTTAAATTTTTAAAAATTATTTTCTACTCACCAAAGATAAAGTTATATAAAAAAGATAATTTTTTTTTACCAAATTATTTTTGAGTTAATTACCTAAAAGTTCTGTTTACAAATGTTACGATAGCTCTGGTCCTATCTAAGATTTTTTGAACCAATAAGTCCTATTTACTAAAACTAAGAATATTATCAGTTTTTTTCAAATTTTTAAAACTAAGAATATTATCAATTTTGCATAGTAATGTTTTAAATAATTGTTTCATTAGCTGATGAAAAAAAATAGAGCATGAAATTAAACGTTTTTGCTCTTCTACTTATTGGTTTGATTCAACTATTTAACAAAACCGAGAATATTATCAATTTTTTCTAGTTTTAAAATTAAGAATATTATCAATTTTTTCATTTTTAAAGTTTTTTTTTTTCAGTTTTACACATCAATGTTCCATCATCATGCTCCTTTATAGACACAAAATTTTCAGTTTTGCACAAAAAAATAATTCAATCTTTTCACCAAAAAAAAAAAAAAAAATTTTTTTTTTTTTTTGCCCAAAATTTTTTTTTTTTTTCAATTTTAAAGGTTTTTTTAATCATTGTTTCAAGGGCAATTCCGACTATTAAAAATTTAATGAGACTTGAAAAATATTAGTTAGAACTTAATGGAATATA